TGGTGCTGCTCCTACACTGCGCCGGCCAGGAAAGCCACTTACATAGATGAGCCCGGAGTAGTAGCGGTCCTTGAGGTTGTGCAGCACGGACGCCTCATTGAGGCAGGTCAGCTCCGCCATGTCCTCCACCTTGGAGAACTTGGGCGGGTTCATCTTCTGGATGTCGTCCTTGTTGACCATGGCCTTCTTGCCGTTCTCGGCCAGCTCCACCACCACCTCGTCGCCGCGCTCCTCGCGGATGCTGGCGGCCTCGAAGCCATGGCGCTCGGACGGGACCCACACCAGCTTCTTGGCGGTCCAGTCGGCCTGCGTGGCCGGGTTGTAGACCACGGCGCGGTCCACGAAGAGGTACCGCTCCGGGTCCTCCTGCCCACTCCGCTGTGCCATCGTCAACGGGTCACCTGAAAGAGAGCAAGACGGGCCCGGCGCGTTAATGGACACGGTCAGCCATGCCAGTAAAGGTCCTCCCAAGTGCACTCAACAGCAAGGGGAAAAGAGCTACATGGACCTCACACACGCTCACTGCCTTTGATTAAAGGAACCAAGCCTCCTCGCAATCGAGAGCAGCGCAGAGGAAAGTGTCCTGCTTGAAGATGAGCCTTCCCCAGCCCCACAGTGAAACGAATTTAGAAAGATGACTTCTTTTTTTTTGGAGAGAGGACAGAAATCCCAGTATCCATGCCGTAAGCACATTTTTGTTCCGAAGTTAAGCAATCCTGACTTTCACCCCCCCCATTAAAGCTTCTAATCGATGGCTGGCCTCCATCCACATGCTGAGAAAAGCGGAAGTCTGTTTCGTTTCACTGTCACCGGGACTGTAATCTGACCGCCGGCTGCACATGCCTGGACTGTCACAGACTCGACACCGCTAACGGATCCTTTTCCCCTCTCCTTCACGGCAGCCGACAGAATCCCGGGAAAGTCAAACCACGGCCAATACCTTGAACGCAGAAGGAAAAACAACCGATAAATCCGTAATGGCTCACGAATCGGACACCGCTATCAACAACAAGGGCAGCTACTTAACCCCACTGCCCCCTTACATAAAACAGACCGCAGACCCCGAGCACAAACATTTAAAAGCACGCCGTCTTCGGTCCCGACGCCTTCCAGGCTAACACAGAGCTCGTTCAAGTGGGAGAGAGCAAAAATGTCAAACGAGTCCATCACAAACTAACCGAGGACATTTCCAGCTCCATTTTGCAAAGCCCACCCGATTTTGAACCCTATAACAAGGCATTCTGGCCTTTACCTAACTGATCCACACAAACTGTGCCTTCAAAACCCGGACAACCCCAGATTTTTTTATTTTTGAGGACTTTACCTATACTGTAAAGAAAACCATACTTAGGGATATACGGTGGTGCATTAAAGCTCTTATTTGTCTAGGGCTGACGTCCCTCATGAATTACAGCCAGAGTTTACACAGCTCTGGCCCTACTGTCGCCGAACACCTGTTCACACTTTATACAAACATTTCAGCGACTTGGTGGTTTCCAATGACGGGGATCAGAGCCTAAAGCAAACTGGAACTCTGCTCCTGAAAAATAACAGAGGCCATGCTTCATCCCCTTAACAAACAGCATTTATTAAAGATAGAAACTCTATCCATTGACCATGTAACAGTACTCATATGGCCAAAGTTGGAGCCTGATCTCTCACTAGGGGATTTTTGGATTTAATCGGCCGTAACCCACTCCCTTTTCCTGTTACATGCAATTCATATTCAATGAATTCATTCAAACAATTCTGAAATGTTAAATTCTGCCTCCTTTCTAAAAATCATAAACTGCATTGGCAAAGCATATTTCAAGTCAGTGAAGACATACAGAATGGCAAATGCTCTATCCTTATCTTACAACTTCACGTGATATTACAGAACGGTTGGACCAAAAGTAGGCAGAAACAACAAAGAATTTCTCCATAATTTCTCTAGAACCGTCATCTCATTCAAAAACGAATATACAGGATTTGTTTCCTTTATGTAATTAACTTGTATAACTATGATTTTTTAATCAGACATTTGTGGCGTAGAAAGAAGGCTGAAGTCATAAACTTTAATGTTCAGATCATGATCGCTTGGTATAACTGCCTCTGAATGTCTAAAGCCTTCATCTCATTAACCCAAACGTCACACCACGCATGGATGAGTCCGTTAACTGTCCCAGTGTTCAGAGACGAACCGGTTTACCCAGAATTAAGCTTGGCAGACCAGACTAGAAGCAGGACGGTAACACGGCTATGGTTTCCAAAGCTTGGCCGTTTCCATCAGGTTAAAACATTTCCCAGACACACACTGACTGACCCATCTGTCATGAATGAACGCGCACACACACACACAAAAAAAACTCCACGGGTTTCATTTGAATCGCACGCATTGCAATCATTATTTCAGCTCAGACTGAGGTTTCGGTGCAGCAAATTTTGCTAACGGACGGGAAGAGCTCTTAATTCGCTCAGGTGAAACGATAAAGCATAACCTGTGCGTAAAATC